CGTTGAAATGCCAACGTTGAATTTGTTGTCGTTGAATCAACGTTGAATCAACGTTGAAATGCCAACGTTGAATTTGTTGTCGTTGAATCAATGTTGAATCAACGTTGAAATGCCAACGTTGAATTATGGTCATTGAATCAACGTTGATTCAACGTTTATCAACGTCTCAACATAAATTCAACGTTGATTCAACGTTGAATCAACGTTGTGTGCCTGCTGGGTATAATCCATGCATATACTGGTAAATATGCCATTAAATGATTTTCAATAGCAAGTTTAATAAATATAAACCCAATAAGCATGACTGTATCTGAATTTCAAGCCTGGTACGTACGTACATGCACGCCTCGTGTATCACAGTTTGGCTTTGCGGTGACTCTCCGGCTGTATTCCTAGAGCTTTTAGATCGATCTATCCCCGCGGGGAGTCTCACTAGATTACTGTCAGTTAATCCGACTTAAATGGGCGTCCCGCCTACTACAAGCTGTAAGGGGGTAATTAACTTTCGTGTCCGCTAGGCTGACAGCTATTTAGCGTGAACCCCCAGGGAGTTAGGTCGATCTAAAGTAGCTCGGTCTAATCTCTGGAAATGGGGTCTCCGTTACATTTGTACTGAGGCACATGCATAAATGTCATAAATTAACGTGTCATATATATATATATATATACTGTGTATGTAACTAGGTTTAAAAAGTGATTCATACCGGGGCTCATCACCTGCACAAATGAACAGTAAACAACGAAATGATGTGATCAGAATTTTACATATATTAAAAACATACATGTATACATGCACAGCCATTACATGTACGTGTACAGATCGAGTCTCTCTTCTTAAAAAATAATTTGCACTTACAAGTATTTGCAGAACGTCTCTGCCAGATTCAGGTCTACTTGTGAAGAACTCTGTTATTCGAAGCCGGATACAAATTCTCGATAGCCTATTAAATATCTCGAACGATGATGCAATCAGAAAAAGAATGATGAAATGGCCCAGAAGTCGTCGAATATCAACAAGAACCACGTGGTCGCGGCGTGTTGACCTAATTACGGTTTCTATATAAAACTTGCTTTCAGATGTTAAACTTACTACCAAGCAAATTGCACTTATTTGAAGATATACTGGTATTGATTGACATTTTGGCGGGGATTTTGAAAATTTTGGTGCAGGTTTAGATCCAAGCAGCGACGATGAGGACAGCCTTTCGGTCGTAACCTTGCCGACCCCGTAAGCTTGAGGTCAACGGTGAGGACACACTTGCACTTTCAAAACTTAACGAGAGAGGGTCGTTTCTGGTTTCTCTCATTCACATTCACATTTCGGATATCTGATAGTCTGTGATAACTTTTTTCCACATATAATTGATGAAGAAATTTAAAAGAAGATTGCAAAGAAAGAATAGGTTTTCATTTACGGCGACATCTATCGTTGATATTGATAGCAACAGAAAAGCTTGAAAATGGTGGTGCTCGACGATTTTTAGCAATAGATAGAAGAAAAGATTTAACTGTTTTCTAGTTCACATTATTAGTTGGATGCCTTTCAGATAAAATTTCAATAACGAAGTTCCTGGCTTGTCAGACCCATGGCTCACAAAGGAAAATTTAGTAAAGAGAAGACGAAACAAGAAATACACGAAAAAGTAAGCACGGAGTTGAAGACCATGTACAACTCCTTGGTTAGACATACAGTACACATGTACTTGTACTGGAGGTGTATAAAATGCCCATCTACCCCTCTTCCAAAATAGAATCGCTTACTTATTCAAAAAGGGAACACCTTCCACTGTTCAACACCAACGTTGATTTTTATTAAAATTAATTAAAATGTATCTTTGTGAGGATGCATGGTGTTGGGGAGGGAGGAAGGAGTGAAGGCTAAATGAATGACAGGTTATTTTGATGAAAATCTTGATAACGTTTTGTTTCCAACCCAAATATACAAGAATGTTTGTATATACTAGAACAAGCAATTAGACACATGTGATCAACACACTTTTACATACATTGAAAACTAAAACAGGTCAATAAATTCACAGGAAAAGTGGCATTTTGAAAATTGCACAGTTATAGTTAAGAGCTTAATAGCTAGTGGTCGGTGACAGAAACAGAGAGTGCACTCTTCACTTTTGTTTTTTATAAAGATAGGAAATGCCAATCTCGTATTTTATTTTTTTCCGTTGTTTATAATTTAGGTGAGGGAAATAAGACTACGCCAACAAAACTGGATGAAGCAGAGAGAGGATCATTTAGCCAGTGCCAGTTCCTCAGCCTCTAGTCTAGATTATCAAAGTCACAGTCATGGAAAAGAAAAGAATGGGAAAAAACAAGCCGTAGCATCTAGTAAGCAAGTTGTCAGAGGGATTCTATAAAAAAGAATGAAGAGAGAACAGAGAGCTACATATGTATTAAATGTAAAAAAAGAATGAGAGAGAGCGAGAAAACTTAATATGGCTAAAGAAAAAGCATTTATTTTTGTCACATATAATCAAATATAGTATATATGTGGCTATATTTTTTATAACATTAATATGATATATGTCAAGCCAAGCTCTTAAAACAGTTCTTGTTATAGTTGTAACATGGACTTTTATTCTTCTCTCTCTCTCCCTCTCCCTCTCTCTCTCTCTCTCTCTCTCAACTTGTGTGTGAGTGATTTAAATTTCTCTGTACATCAGAGTTTTCACAGTTCTCCTTTCAATAATAATAACAGGCCCGTAGCCAGCAATTTCAAAAGGGGGGTTCTTTTTTCTGAAAAACTGGGCCTTTACCCATAAAAACTTCATGTACCTAGATCAAATCTTACCCAGAGTGGACCTTTTACCAGCAAAAGGGGGGGTTCTTTCGAACTCCCCGAACCCCCCCTGGCTACGGGCCTGAATAATTTAAATTATAATAAACATTATTTAAAGAAGGCAAAACATGTTAAGTGTATACACATGGCCCTTTTTAGAAAAATTTTCTATGAGACAACTAAATATTGATAAGAAACTGATATAACTCTTGTACCAGGTCAACCGGCTGCCAAGTCTCCACCAAGTTATGCCAGACCAACACAACTATCTCACAGAAGAAAAGTGGAAGACAGGGATGAACAACACAGGAAGCAACAGCCAGCTATTCCAGCAGCTAAAAACACCCACCGTCAGAGAGCACCTCTGACCAGTGACACAAAGAACAGGTTTCAGCATTGGCGGAATGCTAGAAAAGAAGCAAATGAAACTCCAAACTCAGATTTGGTTTTAGAGTCGGCAAGGACTGAGGATTTGCAGAAAAAAATAAACGTACGGACAATGTCGCATTCAGCAGCCTCATACCGCACAGAGTCTGACGATGTGTCACTAAGTAGGTATGGTGTTGTTCTCTCAACTGGCCAATCAGAATTCAGCTCTCATGATGAGGATTCTGTTGGCCAATCAGATGAGGGGTATCAATATGAAAAAGAGGACTTGTCATCAAGAACGTTGAAATGGGACGAATCAGGTGGTGCAACACAGAGAAAACAACTTTCACCTGAGGAATTTGATACCTTAGCCGACCAAATTATAAAGCGTGTCAAGGAAGATTTGAGAACAAGCACCTCGGAAAAAATAAATTCTGCCAGGAAAGAAAAAGCAAAAATTGGAAAGAATATCCAAGATGGTCAAATAATAAACAAAGTCAAAAAGGATACTTCAGGATGTTCTGATAACAGATTAGAAGGCCACAAATGTGTGATCTGCAAAAAGCCAATGGTGAGCTACTTTCTAGTAGTAATTTTTTGATAACTATTTTTTACTTTTTTAGATAAAAGTTCATTATATCAGGATTTCACTTAAGTAAATCAGAAAAGGACAATTTCATGAATCAGACCCAAAGTTTAAGAAAAAACATTACCAATTGTAAATATAGAAATAACAGACATGTATCCTACATGTCTGCAATGTTAGCCAGTAGTACTACGCCCCTAGCCAGTAAAATTTTTGTTTGGAATAGTAAATTTTTTAGAATTTAATGTGTGAATTTAACTTGGCCCTTTGATTTTTTCTGTAAGTTTTCAAAAAAGCTTTTTTTTTTGTAATGCAAATAATGTATGACAAAGTCAAATTTGTGTCATTACTAATATTAATGCATTAGGGAAAAATGTCCAGTTTTACTGAAATTTTCATTCGGACCAGTAAATTTTAGGAAGATTGTGGTTCAAATGGCCAGTAAGCTAAAAAGTTTATGGCACAAACTGTCTTATCATTTTTCTTTAGTGTATGTGTGACAGCTAGTGTGTGTGTTGCGAGCAGCAGTTCAAATTTCAAAGACCTCATTAAGTCAAATTTATAATTTTTTTTCAAGGTCAAAATTAATTTATGTATAAGTTTTATTAATTCTCAGAAAATTGCACAACACATTTGGCAAACTGTCTTTTTCATATATTTCTAATATATTTATTCAGTTTTTTAGTTATCTATTTTTATTTATTTTATTTCATTAATTTTTATATTATTTTTTTTTAGGTGTCTAGGGGTCAATAATACAAGCGTTCTTCTTTCAAAATCAATTGTTGGTTATAAACTTCAGCCAGAACCTAGTACCTATAACCCTCTACCAGAGTCACATATTGATTTTTTACTAGAAATTCACAGATATGTCTGTAGATAAATGACAGGGGCGGATTGAGGCCGTCTTCAGGGTCTTCTGGAAGACGGTCAGATTTTCAAGTTTACATTGACGGGTATCTAGTTTTGTCTCTCAGAACACGGTCAAAAATACAGGATCAACAAGATAATTTAGAAGACTGTCAGAAAATAGCTCTGGATCCGCCCCTGAATGATGGCACTTTTCTGCACTGTCAGAGATTATAATCATGCAGTGACCCAGGTAGAGGGTATGTACACTCAGTACTTACCAAGTTACCCTATTTCTTTTCCCTATTTCATAGGTCCAGGCTTCCCATTCTCCCATGCTGTTCATCCCATGTGGACACACCGTGTGTAAAATGTGTGCAGAGCCCCAGAAATTCTGCACTTTCTGCGGCACAGCTATCACATCCAAAACTTGCAATATTGCACTCCAGAAGGTCATAACAGACTTCTATTTCAAAGAACCAACGAATAACAGTGGTGTTGGGGATGTCAGTGACTACAGGCCCAGTCAATACACGTACCAAAGTGAGAAAGAATGTGCTGTGTATTCCGATAAGAAAAATCGTGTCAACTACGATGCTGAACTGAAATCCCTGCTAGTGCGCCAGGAGGTTCTGGAAGCCACCACACAGGATATAGCGACAAACTTGACACAGTTAAAGAAAAAGAAAGAGAAGCAACAGTCACAGATAGATAGAATTTCCCAGGAGGAACAAAGGTAACTGTACATGTACTAGTAAGCTCCTGTCTCATGAAGGAGTGAATTGGAAATATGATATGACCCAATTTTTTTCAGCGAGGAAAGTTATCAATTTTTTAACATACATATTTCCCAAATCATTAAAAATATATTTCTGTGAAGCATTTGTGGTGCTTTTACTGAAAAGAATAGAACTACATATATAGAATGGCCTGCTTCAATTTTGTTGCCTCCACTTCCTAGCTAGGAGTGTTGAAACTTGAAGAAATTTTGACTTAAAAGGATAGTAACTCTTCGTATGAGATCTATATTTCACAATAAAAACATTGTGAATAACTCATAGAAATATCACAAAAACGGCAGTTATAGCTATTATTCTGATATCTGAACTCGTCTTAAGACCACGTGAACTCCATTGATGGCTAACTTTGAATGTAAAAATGGATTCATTAACCATTGGTAAGTATGGGGAAATTGTTGTTTACTCCAGGAAAATTCATTTTTTGGCCGAAACGAGGAGTTATTATCCCTTTAAGGAAATACAGCAATTTTGACCCTTTGAAATAATGGAGTAATTACCGTGCTTATGGCACATGGATGATGGACATTAACTGACAGAAGAACTAAGTGAATAATTAAATGATGAAGTAGCCTCTATGATATTTAATATTAATTGATCTGTATTGTACATTGAATGTACCTGAATTCTGTCAATTTCATATAGGTACATTAACAGAGAGACAAAATTGATATGTAGGCAACAGGCAGATAGATGTATAGCAGAAAAGTTCCTGAATTCCATCATATTCATATAGGTACATTAGCAGAGAGACAAAATTGATATGTAGACAACAGGCAGATAGATGTATAGCTTAATTATTTTTTATATTTATGGTACTACAGCATACAATGCACAGGCCTGTAGCCACCAGTTTCAAAAGGGAGGTTCTTTTTATGAAAAATAGGACCTTTTACCATGAAACCTTCATGTACCTAGATACAATTTTAAACAGAGGGGACATTTTACCAGTAAAAAGGGGAGTTCTCTTGCCCTCCCCCCCCCCCATCCCCCTCAGCTAAGGGCCAAAAGAACATGTTTTTGCTACAGTATGATATTTCTAAAATATAATATGTTGTTTACTATACAGGAGACAATGTCATTATGACTCACCAAACAACCCATGTTTGTTTGTATTTTATTATTATCATTTGTTTGTTTTATTTTATTGATTCGTATTTCTTTATTTCTTGCAGAATCAGAAAAGAGCTGGAAATGCTGAAGGAGAAGCTTCAGGCATTGTCTATGCATAAGAGGGAGTACCAGCAGAGGGTGGAAGAGCTGGATAAAGAACAGTTTGACGAGAAAAATAAGCTGGCCCTGACGGAGGAGACATTAAGGAGTTTAAAAGGGCAGATCGACAAGGTGTGTATTCAGGGTGCTGGCCTTAAGGGATTACAAGATAAGTTTAAGATCTGATCCAGATGTTTGGTAATTACTTGATGGGCAAAAATTATAAAACCTGAAGACACTTAATTTCATAATCACAAAAATTATATATTTTTTATTTTATTTTATTTAGTATTTGTGGTGCTTTTACTGCAGTTACAAAGCAGCCTGCTTTTTTAATTTTGTTGCTGTCACTCAATAGGAATTTTAAAAAAATTTGACTTAAAAACTACTGTAACAGCATATACTGTAAAATCCCCCCCCCCCCCCCTCTATTGAAAAGATCAAGTAATTACTGTATTACAACCTACAGTAGATATTGGGCTTTTGGAATAGGATGTTATGTTTTGTTATTTTATTTAGATGGAATTATGGTCAATTTTTTGGCCTTTATTGATTAGGCCACACTTTTTTATTTTTATGGATGACATCCTCTGGGG